GTTGGGATCTACTTGGCCAGGACGTTAATCTCCGACATTGAAAAAGTCAAACTCACCTACTGAAGGCTCTGTTGATGTGGGCGGGGTGTACCCCATCAAGGGGCGTGGCTTTACGCTAGGAGGTAATGGACCAACTTCCTGGTGCCGCCCTCTTTCCTTTTTCTTTTCTCTCGTCTTCAGCCTTTTTAATTGCCGCTGTGAACTGTCACCTGATTGGCTGTTGCGGTGCCTTATTCAGGAACTTGACTGTTATTGGTGACATCAGCAGCAGCAGCTGCAGCAGGCGAATACACTGAAACTTCAAAATAAAAGCACACAGCTTGTTGTTATTTTCATTATCAGGGTCAAGTGTTTCCTCTAAAAGAAACACAACAAAGAACAGAATCCTGACTTTGAATTGATTGATTGTTGCAGTTCTCACTGATCATATGTAGTAAATACTGTATCAGTGTGTACTTCATACTCTATGTACTACATAAACAGTATTATATAGTACACACAGTACTTAGTACATACAGCACACTGTACATACAGTACATAGTATATCAGTGTGTAGTCCTCAGTAGAACTAAACTCTGGGACCCAAACAAGATCAAATCTGTTTAAATCAGAAATCATTCAATTCAAAGATTTAAATTAAAGATGAAAGGTCACATGATCACATGTCAGATTAAATAGAGATTGAAGAACTTTGTTTACAATAAGTTCATGTGGACAAACTTTGAATAAAGTTTTGAGGATGTTTGATGTTTTCAGCTTTAATTCTTTCAACTGTTTTCTGTTTGTGTTTAAACACAAGGGGTCTTTTATTCTGAAGGGATTCTGTTTTATGTAAAGTACATTTCTACTTTTTTATATTTCTACAAAATAAAAGCTTGTTCTAAGACTGTTTGACTTGTGTATTCATCATCACATTTTAAAATTCAATGAAAACTTTATTTATACAGGAGATATATACCCAAGATATATGATCACTCCAGGAGAAGCTCTGTATTTGTGTATTTCTACACATTCACACCACATCTACGGGCGGCACCTTTTTCAGTGTAGTGTCCAAGGACACTTAAGCGTGAAGGGGAAGACCAGGATTGAGCCGCTGACCTTCTGTCCACCCCTCAGCCGGGACGATGAAGAGAAACACCATATTCAGCGCTGGCCTCTAAAACTTTGATCTAGTTTCAGTAACTTTCTTGACACACTTTG